CTGTGAGAAAATATGGTATCCAGCAGCTAGCATATAGTGTGGATATTTCACTATCCAGGGATCTGTAATTACTAATAATGTACAGGAACAGTATGATATGTCCTTACAATTGCAGAATCCTTTTCAAAGATAATCTTTAATAGTTTATTTGACAACCTGTAAAATTATAGAAAATTATTAGTCTTGGGAATTACAAAATTCCCCATAGTACAGTCAAACAATAAAATTATAATTACCTGTGGGTAATTGAAATTTAACTGTTTTTTTATTGTATATTACACATCAATAGCAACATAAGTTCAAGAGTGTCCCCCTCCCCTCCTTTTTCTTTTCCCTACAGAAGTGGGGAAAATGGACAACCCTGCTGGTATCTTGTGAGCCCTTGTCACAGAACAGAACTTGAACAATTTCGATTAAAGCAGCATGTTCGAGACTGTCATTAGACCTGCGTTAAATTACATATCTGGAATGTTAAAAATAAAGAGTACTGAAGCTTATTCACAGCTGCCTGTGGTAAAGTATGTAGTCAAGGTTTTTATTATCTTTGAAGTTCTTATTTTTCTCTTTTCTAAAACTTATTGTTTCATCAAACAAATACCTAGCACATTTAAGAACAGTGTGAGCACAGGAGCAGAATTGCTGGAGCTGGATAAAGCATTAGCGTGTTTCCATTCTGTGCTCAGTTGTATTGTTTAGTGCTAACAATGGTAATTTATCAATTATACAGGAGGGAACAAAGCCCCTCACTGTCTCACAGCTCCAGAAGTACCTGGTACAGGGCCCAAAGCTGGAGACCCTCTCAGACCTCAGAAGGCACCATTTACCATGAGCATTTGCCTTGTCCCCTTGCAGTGACCCCATGGAGGCTGCTCACTACTCAGCTCCAAGACTTCCATGGCTTTTCTCCTAAACCTGGAAAATTATAACTTTTTTTCTTTTTCCTTTTAGACCCAAGGACCTTGATAATGAGACACCACAGCTTGTCCTTGTCTAGTTGGTGAGACCATACATTCCCTCTTGTTGTGCAATTTGTGGTGGCTTTACAGACTTTGATGCCAACCTGAAGGACAAACCCCGAGCTTTTGGTGCTGCTCAGCCAGGACAAACCCCAAAACATGGTATGTTTGACAGTTACTTGTCTCTACAGCAGCTTTGTTACACACTGCTGAGATGCACAAAATTCTCTATATAAGGATCAGACTGGCTACTTCCATTTGATTCTGTAAAGTGCTTTGTGATCACAATGTGAATATAACAGCACAAGTAAAAATATCTCTGTTTTATTAAGAGTTTCAGTTAAAGTGTTTAATACCCAGATTTTATCATGAGAGAGCATCACAAAGGCTGAGTACAACGTAATGGCAAGCCAGGTATTGTTATGATTATCATTACTATTATTTATATATGATCACTGAAGTACTAAGTGAAAACTGGGAAATGGAGTTCCTGAGTCCCACAGAGCTCATAGTAACAGCTGTTTTTGGAGGATGCAACAATAGCAGACCAGCTCTGCTTCATGGAACAATTAATGGTGCATACAGCCCAGTCTGGAAATCCCTGATCCCGAATGGGTTTTCCCATTTTCAAAAATCAAAGAGGGTAAAATTTCAGTTGGAACTCCTGCCTTTTTTTATTGTGGTGCCTCTTACTCTTCCCATTACCTCTTTTCTCTGCCTGTTGGTATGAAGGGCACCCCTGCACATTAGAACTGTGCTGTGTCTGTTTATCCAGCAAAGCAGCTGGAAACTCCTCATCCAAGTGGTGTCTGAATGCCTTTGCAAGGGAGAGACATTCTGCCTTCCTCACTTGCCCTTCCCATCGGAGATTTTTAAGTGTCTTGGCCTCCTAAAAGCTAAAGTGGAGCTTTTGATTGAGATTTAAAGTGAGTGTAAACCTTTGAAAAGCAGAAACCCCAGGAGGGGCTGTATCACCAGAGCAGTAAATAGGCTGAGCTGAGCAGGGCAGGGGCAGGACTGGCCCAAACCCCAAACTAAAGAGCTGTGACCTTGTGTGACACACAGAGCTCTGTTTGGCTTTGGCTGTTCCCTAATCCTGACCCTTGACCAACACCTGAAGGCCACAGAAAGTTTTTCTCCATCCTTATCTTGGCTATCATTCCCTGGCAGATTCCAGCTGCTAAGCTCAACACCCTAAAAAAAAGAAGCTGGGGAGTTGTTTTCCACTAGGATTTATATAGATGGGATGCTTGGAAGTTAAATCTTCCAACCACCACAGTGCACCATAGAGTAAGACAAAGAGCAGGAGATAAATTTTCCTGCCTTTGAAATTCCTGCTCATGTCACTCTCTGAGCAAATTTTTACCATTTTGACACTGGTGAGAAGAGCTATTCCAATGTGAGCCTCTTTCTCTGCACTGCAGTGCAGGGATGAAGCTAAGGATGAGCAATTGGAGCACTGTCAGGATTACACCCAGGTCAGATTTTTCATTCTGCTAAAAGATGCTTTTTTTGACATGGGAATCAGGAAAATACATTGATGCAATGTGTTGAAAAGGACCAAAAGGTTGTTATTTGCTCCCACCAATACACAGAGACACAACCCTCCTGTAAAGTGAAAATATTTTCTAGTGAAAACACAAAATTTGACACTGAGTGCAACATAATGGGAGGGCCCAATGGGGGCTTTGGGGAGCTCCTCAGGGAGAGGGGGCTTTCCAAGGGCTCTTTTTGCTCCTGTCTGTAGGGTGAGCTCACAAATGTTTGGGTAGAGAAAGCAGCATGCATCCAGATTTTAAAAGAAATAAAATAAAAGGGATTGGCTGTTTTTTTTTCTCATGGATGAGGTTATAAGGTTAATAAAAGAGTTAATCCCAGCCTGCTCTGCAAAAGGGAACAGCTCACATTTGTGAGACTTCAAAAGGCTTCAGAGTGTCTGTGTATGGATGTTGTTATTTCCTGTCAGGGCCATCCCAAGAAGATGGGGGCTGGGAGCTGATTTTTGGAAGAAGAGTTTGGCCTTTAACTAAATCAGTTGGAGTGAAAATAAAAAGGTTAGTATAAAATTCTTTTGAGAGTAAACTCCAATTCAATAAAATTCTGGGTATTTTTTTCTTTCTTTTTTTTTTTTTCCCTGTAAAAATCTAAAATTAAAACTTAGTACAGAGCAGTGGAGGCTGACCAGAGCATTTCAACCAGATGGCCCAGAGAATCTGGTTGGGTTTTTCTTGTTTTTTTAAAAATCATCACATGATTTTAATTTTTAAATATGTTAATGGTTAAAAAAAAAAGCCAATTTAGGAAACATTCAGAAAATTAAAACAAAAACAAAAAAAAGGGAAGTATAGTAGGGAGAAGAATATTATCATTTTACTGAATGGTTTGGTGGAAACATAGAAGACCTGGAGAGCATTCTGCCTGACAAACAATCTTGTATTCAGACAGGGGAAATGTAGCCCAAGCTCTCTTGCTGAGTCTTTACTCAGTAGACAAACACGTTACCAGGGGTGCTGCTGCCCTTTTTTAGAAGTGCAGTTTTGGCACTCACAGTTTTCAGGGATTCACTCCCCTGCTCCGTGGTGCAGCAGGGGTGGCAGCAGGCCAGGCCAGGGCCATGGCACAGAGTGCTGAGTTACAGAGCTCAGCTCTTCTCCTTGTGGGGTGTTGTCAGAGGTGCAGGACACACCTGAGCTCCAGCCCTGTGCCTCCAGCTCCTCTCCTGCTCCCCAGGCAGCTCTGCCTCTGCCCAGCCAGTACAGCACCAGGCAGTGATTTACAAGGAGAGCTGGGTGTCCATTTGCTCCCCAGCATTGAGGGAATGATTATTGCACAGCACAGAAAATTACCTCAGGCCTTGTCAGGCTTTTCTGCAGAAATAAATAAGCCTGAGTTCCTTATACCCTTCCCTGGCTTGGTGTCCCCCTGCACAGCTGAGAGTCCGTGCTCAGACACAGAGTAAATGTTACAGTCGATATCCCTCAGCAGAGAAACTGCACTGCAATTTCTTTTTTCTACCTTTTTTTCCTCTTGCACGAGGCTCCTGCGCTACCAGCTAACCGTTTCCTATAAGAAAATGGCATTGTGTTAAAGTTATATAGTGTATCATATTAAATTTTATAACAGTGCTTTGTGTTTTGAAAAGACTTTGGGGGGAAACAGCATCAATCAGGGAACCACATTTGATAGACTTGGAAGGGGCCTCCTGAGTCATTTTGTCCAAGACCTCTATGAAGCAGGAAAGCTTCTGCAAAATACCTTTCCCATAAATGTATCTAACCTTTCCTTAAAGACACTGAGTGATGGTGCCATAAATACCTCAAGCAGCTAAACCAGTCTGATTGACCTTACGATCAGAAAGTGTCTTCTAATACTGTAGAGAAGGTACAATTTTCCATTCTTCCAGCTGCAGCTAAGCAAGAAAAAAGGGCAAATACACAGTAATGGCCAACAATACAGACTGTGCAAACAGTTTCACTTTACTGCCATCACCTACCATAAATCTGGATGTAGCCACTGATACTTGGTTTCCCAGTGTAGTGTCTGTGATCCTTGTAGTATCCATCTCACTTTGACTTTGGAGAGCCACCATTACAGAGTGTGGAAATAAGGAAGATGGACTAGCAGCACTTTCTGATTCAGGAAGCCATTTGAAACCCGATGCTGTGTAGTTAAAGTATTTATTTCTATTCTCTATTTATTAGAATTTGTGAGGTGTTTCTTGCCACGACCATGGGAGTAGGGGAAGCACAGGGCTTTTTATGGCTCTCTCAGAGTGTCAAAGAATAATTTTTATTCTCCCCCAATAATTGTGTACATTGAAAAATAAATACCTGGTAGTTTGGCTGCTTGTTGCTGCAACAGCAGTGCCTTGTGTGCAGCTCTGCCTTCTTTTTCTCAGTGAGTAGTAGAGGAGGTGTCATTTTGGGTAGGTGTGTTATTAAATCACAGACACACTCATTGCTGAGAGCTTCCTGAGCTGTACATAAACTATCTTTGGCTTGGATTTTTTTGTCTTTTTTTGTGTGTGTGGTTGGTTTTGCTTTGTTTTGTTTTGGTTTTTTTTGCAACCACCAAAAAAGGTGACAGAGCTGAAGGCCAGTTGTTCAAGCACCTCTGTTCATCAGGCGTCCCACAGCTGTATTTCTCCCACACACACGACTGCTGCAAAATGGGACAGGAAGACAAGGCCTAGGAACAAAAGACACAGAGAAGATAATTTAGAAAGAATGTGGTTGTGATGCTGGGTTAAAAAAAAAGCCAGTGGCTCTGCAAGTCCCTGTCCACACGGTTTTGCTGTGTCTCCTTCATGCCTTGTACCCTTGTGCCAGCTCAGACTGGCACTCACCTGTGGGTTGCAGCTCAGTGCTCATCATTTCATCAATGCCTTAAATAAGCCTCAAAAAATACAGATTTTTTTTAAGGCCTTTTCTATAGAGTTAACTAAATGACATCCTTTCCGTGATGTGCAAAGTTATAAAATATTTGTCTAGTATTTAGTCACGTAGAAATATGTGAAAATACACTAGAAATACTTCTCATCCAATTGTTAAGGCTGCTGAGATTGTGACCATTCAATGTGATAGTATAAAACTGTAAAATACCAATGCCAAGAAAAATACAAATACTGACAGAGCTTTTGTTTATTGTTTATATTCTTTCAGACACTTCTTCCCGTGGCATCACCAAATCAGGCTTCCCTGATCCCTACAGAGTCGAGGCAGTCCCAGCTCACCTCTCCCTCTGCTCCTGTTTGAAATTCCAGCTGGAAGAGCAGCCCTTCCCTGCTTGAGTGAGTTGAACCCCCTTAGCATTTATTTATTTTTGTGGGATCCTGGTACTCCAACCCACATGACAAAATCAGATCCTCCTGCTCCTGCTCCTGCTGACCTGCTCCAGCCCCTCGTATTCCCCATTTTCCTCTCAGTGCCCTCCGTTCCCTACATTGTAAATACTTGTTGGAGGGAAAGAGAAGCATAATTTATTCTTTTATGTTGGAAAGGAAATGAAGGCAAAGAGGGCTTTTTTTTTTTGTTTTTTTATCGTTGTTGTTATTATTAAGAGAGGGCTTGTTTAGGGTTTTTTTTTCAGGACAGACAAGTTCTAACCTGTACATGTGTGTGCTCTTAGGTACTCCTGAAAATAAAAACCACATTTGCATCACATATGCTTAAAATAAAAAGAAATTACATATCATAGAGGTTTTCTGCTCCTATTCAGTGCACAAATGCCAATATGGGGTTCTATCTTGCAATCCATTTCGATATTTACAACAGAACATGGCATATCATTTAATTTAAATTTGCAGCATGCTCAGTGTAATTAATGCTGTGCAGTGCCTAGAAAATCCTGATTTCTTAATGTGATACAATGCCTGCATGCTGAGAGCTTTTTTTTTTCAAACTACTGTATCATTTTGGAGCATTAATGGGGAGGCACTGCCATTAAACAGGTAAAAAAGAGTCAAGGCCACTTGGTCTTTATGAAACTTCCATGCAGCTCCCCAAAATATGATGCAAAGTACAGGTTTGTTTTAGAAGAGGGGGAGAGTCAGAGATTTAATTTTCCCTTGACACAGCATGATGCCTGAATAGCCAGACAGCTATTCCTAAATTATGTGCATTTCATTCCTAGGAGCTGTGAGGATTTTGAATGGGCTGTTGTTAAATACAGTACACAAGCATAAATACTCCAGGGAACAGCTAGCTGAAATTTTGGCATGAGCAGAAATCTGATGTAGTATCTGAGCATGTAATAATAATGCATATTGATTTGTTGGGAATGCTAGGAGAGGGGTTTGGTATTCTGGGATGAGAACTGTTAAACTTGGGAACATCTTGTGTGATTATAATGTACTGTGATATTTGTATGCTGTGGGCTTGGCAGGGACAGAGAGGTTCACATAAGATTTAGACTTGGAGACTGGCAGGGTTCTCAGTTTTGGAACCAAACACAAAAAACTGAGTGCATGGCAAAGATATTTATATATTATATATAAATGAAGCCTGGAGAGATGAGGACCAGAAAGGGGATGTGTTCAGCAAGAAGGGTTGTGACCAAATGCCCTTCAAGGTCAGGAACTTTACTGCCATGGCTGCCTTGAGATGGGGTGCTTTGGGGGGCAGTTCTGTGTTTGACTGGTACCAAAAGAAGAGAAAAGGGGGAAAAAAAAGACCCAAACAACATCCCCTTAGCATTTTGCAAGGTTATCAGTTTCTATTAGACTCTACTATACAAGCACTTCTTATAGACCTGTTGATAGCAAAACAAATTCTTCAAGTCCTCTAAATAAATCTGTTTCTATACATAATGCTTCAACTTCTCTGTTCTCATCTGACACCTGACAAGTCCACCTTAAGAGTAATTGGTGCTGCTTTGAACCTCTGCAAGCACAGTGGGAGGAGGGTGGGCACTTTATTGACTTGGATTGATTTTGGTAGGAAGCACATGAGACGGACTCGGTAGGCGATGTCGCACCTGGGACACATCACACTCCTCAGGAACATCTGCAGGCCACCAGCAGGGCTCAAGAGGATGTGGAGGAGGCCCTCAAACAACCCCATCCCACCAAGTGGGACCTCTCTGCGTGGTCACCCTGGAGAGAGGCACCAACCAGGACTAAGTTCATCAGCCAGGTGGGAATTTCAGGGGGTGGTGCCGTGGCTCTTGTGGTGGAAGCCATGGGCTGTCTCCACAGGCAGGAACCAAAGGGTTATCCCAATGCAGGTTGGCCAGCATGTTGATCTCTTCCCACTGTGGTGTCAGGCCTCAAGAAGGGCTGTTGGGATGAGGGGTTGGACATTTCCATGCCTGGAACTCTGTTTTCCAGTGCTCTGGTTATTTGAGAGCATTATGGGGCAGTGAAAGGATTTGTGAACCGGCTGCTTGGTTTGTGACAAAAAAAGTGTCATTGATATTAATAGCTCTGAGCTCCAGTACAGACCTAAAAAACCCAGGGAAATGGCAGAACAAAAGGAGTCAGAGACAAGATGGCACTGAAGGTCTCCTCAGCAGGGATGCTGATTAGGATGTGAGGTGGGGGCTGTCCCGCCCGCGTACGGGTCGGGCTGGGGAAATCTCCCTCCTCCCCCTGTCTCGCCTCCCTCATCCATAATGAGGGAAGGAATAACTTTGCAGCACACTTTGCATTGGCATTGCATGCTAACTTCATTACTGTTTGCAACAGCCTGTGCAATCCTCAGAGGAAAGGAATAATAACAAAGAAAAAAAATGATAATTACCAAGCACATAGTTTTCATCTATAATCTTCATTTCAGGATTCACTCTTCCTGATGTCAATATTTTATAATGGAAGAATGAGATATGCTAAGTTTCTGTTTGATGGAAGTAAATTCAGATTTAATATTGCCGAGGAGCTGAATTTTTAATAGAGCAGAGCAGTTTGCAGCCATTGCAGCCCCTGTTTGCAGCTCCTGCCGCTCCTTTGTACCGGCTCAGCGACATTCCCATGACCAGGCAGAAAAATGGGAAGAAGCTGCTCTGGATCTGCAGTGGGGTGACAGTACTTTGTCACTGAGCTCTGTCACGATAATTGGGAGTGTCACACAATGAGGCAATATGACACACCCCCAGTAAATGAAGAGTTTTCAAAGTGATGTACAGCCCCTGTCAGCTGCCAAAGCTTTTGTTTGCTCACGGAGCTGGGCGGCATTTGCAGGAGGAAAACTGCACTGGAAAGGCACCCTTGGAAAGTTTGTTGGGAACTGATTTCCTCTGTGGTTTTGTAAAATGGAATAGATCCCATGAACAGGAGAATATCCCCTTTTATCACACACTCCCAGCTTCCAACCTGCTGAGGACTTTCCACAAACTCTTTAGGAATTTACCTCTTTTTGTTAAATTGGGTTGGATCTCATTAATAAAAGAATGGTATAATGGAAAAGAGTTTCTAAAATTATACTGTAACCTAGAATTGCAGGATTCAGCTTTCTCTGCCTGAAGAAAAAAATTCTGAAGCATTAAACTTACTTTATCAAGCATTGCACCTGACATGCTCTCATAAATTTTACATACATTTTAACTTATTTTAATATTATGCAGGCTTGGTTTAAAATATTCCCATGAAGTACCTAAAATGAAGCTGCTCAGCCATAAATTACAGCTAAAAAAATACTTGTCCATCCCCCCCCCCAATCAATATTTCTTTTCTTAAAATCATGTGTTGTATGTAAGTTAAATTTTCCCTTGCTGAGATACTTTGTATATCTTAATAGGAACTACCACAGGCCCTGGGAGCTGTATTTCCGTAGGGTTACATTTACCATTTTTTTTGCTTTTTTAGAGGTGTCTTACCTGAAAGCAGCCAGCAGTAACCCTTTGCATGCCACACTGCAGTTAGGGCCAAGGCCCACAATTAAACATGAGGCCAAATATATATAATATATGTGTGTGTGCATGTGTGTGTATATATTTGTATGTATATCTCTCTGTGTGTGCATATGTAGATATAAATATACATTTATATCACAGAATCAGAGAATGGTTTGTGTTGGAAGGGACCTTAAAGCTCATCTCAAGCCTGGGCAGGGACACCTTCCACTGTCCCAGGCTGCTCCAAGCCCTGTCCAACCTGGCCGTGGACACTTCAGGGATGGGGCAGCCACAGCTTCTAAACTGTGCCAGGCCCTGCTCACCCTCACAGAGATTTTTTTTCTTAATAGTCAGTTTAAACCTCCTCTCCATTTGGAGCCATTCCCCCTTGTCCTGTCACACCAGGCCCTTGGAAATTGTCTCTGTCCATGTTCCATTGCAGGCGCCCTTCAGGTGCTGGAAGGCCACAATTAGGTGACTCCAGAGCCTTCTCTTTTCCAGGGTGGACAACCCCAGTTCTCTCAGCCTTTCCTCATAGGGGTGCTCCACCCCTCTAACCATCTTGCTGGCCTTCACATGTGTATATAAATATATATATATAAAGTTTTTCTCCAGGAGCAGCCCTGTAGCAGCCCCGCTGGTTGTATGGAGACCGACGGAAGCTTCCCAGTGTGCCAGCCTCAGGCTGCAGCAGGTACATCCCTGACAGCTCCTCACAAAGCTCCATTTGTGCCCCAATTTCTGAGGCTATTTCAAAGCCCAGGCTAAATTACACAAACATTTGGCTATAGACATAACAGGCCTGCTCTGCAGCGCTGTCAGCTCCCTGCCTCCCAGCCCCAGCACTCCCTGTGTGTGTC